CGGATATGTCTAATTATATTTTAAACAACCAAACAGGTTCGAAGGCGTTTGACTCTCTAAATATTCTATATTATATCCCGACAATGTAGAGTTCATCCGAATACTTGAACACAGCGACTAGCACGACAACTGTATAGTCGACGAGCTTACAGTCAAAGGCTTAATCATGAACTATATCAATTATTCTCTAAATATTTATATTCCAATCAATACATATTAATATATAACACCCTCTTTCCTATAAAAACCACAAATTTAATGGGAAAGTGACACAACTGTGTCACAACTTAACTAAACAAAATCTGATATTATTGATGATTAAATTTATCACTAACATATAAAACTAACTAATTAATTTATGTCATTTTTAATAATATTTTATTAATTTTAATAGAAAATTCACACTATTATAGCCAGGCATGATCTTAAAGTTGAAATATAAACTATATTTTCTGCCTATCTTAAGAGAAAGAACTATCAAGGATTCATCTATTAAGCAGCAGATAGTCCTGCCCACGGACAAGGCTACAACTCTTGATAGCCCTATTTTCGAAAATCACGTACAACTATCAAACACTGATATTCAAGGCCTCAGAAAGCTATCAAAGAAAATAATTCAGTTATAATTTTAAGAATATCGTAAAACTTGATATATCAAACCTGATGTACGTGAAATCTGTCGCAAACCTATAAGATTCAACTTTATGTACCAAACAAACTTTGGATCTTGAAGCTGGTGTTACTTTGAAGATGGGTAATGCTCAGTTTATGACGACAGTAGAGATTAATTTATTGAAGACATCTTGCGCTATTGATTAAATCATTTACAATATCGCCCAATGCAGGTAATATAATTATTTTATAACCAGCCATAAACACTATATTTTTATTCTTGGCATCCGTCTACCTATATCCGATTTCTTCTTATAATTGTCGATTTCTTTAATTATAAAGTACTATTGCTACTACTATTCACACAAAAATTTGTGTATCTTTTGCTCTCCTTTCAACTTTCGTTTTGAAGTGTTCGAATAGTTGCACTACGAATAATAATCTCAAATCTGGATATTCGAAGTTTATAGATTTACAAAAAATACGATTCTTTTTTAACTCCGAAGACTCCAATCTGATTAAGATTGTCCGAATACTTCGTAAAACCGAATAGCGTAAAAACCGTTTCAAACTTTTTATCTGTAAATTCACAACAGCAAACTTCTTGTGAGTTTTATTTTGCTCTGTTCAAAAATAAAAAGCCTAGCTTGCGATTTATATTTGATATTTAAAAATAAGTTGCACACAAAACGTATTTATTGGTTTCAAAAAATAATAATTCTTTTTGAGTTTTTCGTTTTTAGGACAATAATAATAATTATTTTTGTATTTTTGCATTAAAAGGAAAATGTAGGAGTTATAAGTGCATGGAGAAGTAAAAGACAAATAATATTAATTATTTTTAAATGTATATAAATATTGTATAAATAATATAAATAAATATAATATAAAGCAGATTTAATTGTTATTTTGTTTTAAAAGGCAAATATATATAAAGCACGCATAATATAAAAGATAAATGTTAGAATGATAGCTACATACTTAATTAAGACTTAAGAAAAAGTTGTCTTTTTTACTGGTGATTTTTTTTCTTGAAAACCTATTAAATACCTATTATTTTTGGTTTATAATGCCGGCATATAAATCCAGCATTTTTGATAAAAGGAAAAGTTCAGATGAAAAAACTGAACTAACGGTTCACTCTTCTACTCACTCATTTTGATAACTTAAAGATCTTAGAAAGGAAGAGCAACAAGACAAGACTGATGCTAAAAGTGCTCCATATTTCCAACTTCCGACCATTATAATTTTAAATTTTAAACAAGCCATTAAGAGATGAACTTTACTATATACCATAGAAATTTGGTATACAAATGTACTACTTCACTTGCACGTTATTTAACGACGCTTTAATCGAATAGAACAATCTGGTATTCCATAACTCTTGGGTGGATTCATATAAACGATGAAATTGATTTATTCTTAAATTATCAAGTAATTTATCAACCTACAGTTGATAACATTAATTCCAATCAGAAAATATATTGTTTTGAAATACATCTCTTCAGATCATTAGATTAAAGACAACAAGTCTCTTGCTAAAGTCTGTAATTTGTACGTGAAACACAACACTACGCTCTTCTTGTAACAGACTAATTACGAAGCGACTCATCATCTAAGAGACTACAAACCAAAATAAAGAAAGTGTGTTTAAAAAGCGCACCTAGTGTTTTTAACAAGTTTATACTTATTAAGGCATAAATATTCTTAACTATTTTTAATTTTATTACAGAATGAAAATTCAAAATTTCTCACGTTATTATCATTGTTTTTATTTGCTTTTAGTAGTAGTTTGGCTTGTGAAAACATATTTGACAAATTACAACAGTGATGCCAAAATGGTAGCAAGAGATTTTAACAAGAGACTTGCTGTTTTTTGCCTCACTTCAGAGCTCCCAAATACACCTAATATTTGATAACCAGTTGGATAATTTCAACTATTTTTACAGTAGATAGGTTTTTCTACACACTTTAGAATGCAATTTTTAACATTGTGTATATGAGCAAAGAAAAGTCCGTTTTGGAACATTTAATATAAATACTTAGGACAGTATTGCTCATCCATAAATATATCTTGTGTAATACTGATGTGATTTGTTTGAGTGAATTTTTTTATGCCCCGCGCTTAATTTTTGCTTCAGCGCTACTTTTATATAGATTACAAGTGTACGGACGGACAGACGTTACAAGCAAATAAATTGAAAGAAAAATAATAAAAAAAATTATTTGTTATCAAAACAAAAAAGCAATGAAATTGTTTTCTCATTACATAAATTAAATATATTTTATGCGATGTCTTATATTATTTTTAAATCTATAATTCATACCTTTAAAACTTGTGTGCATTTAAAATAAAGTCAAATCTAAATGCATAATTGATGTACTATAATTTGGAAAAGTTGATTAATCATCAAAAGTATTTATATTAATGGATCTCACTAATAACAGATTCAAACTATCGCATTTAGGCGGCTTTGTTTATTATAGCCACTAATGCAGATAATTTACCATACAAAGAGCTATCATATAAATGAGCTGATTTACAATAAATCAGCTCATTTTAGACCAAAATTGTCGAATGTAACCCTTAAAAATAAATTTCCCACAAGGGATATGACCAAAATTTGAAGTATGTGTCATATATTTTTAAATATAAAATGTAAACAAACAACAGCTGAGCTGCAAACAAAAGCACTGAGGAAATAAGTATTTAGGACGTGTGCGAGTTAGGCTAAGTTGATGCTAAATGGGAGATTTTTTGGGATTTTTTGCACTGCACACATTTAGCCATTTATCAACACGTATCGACACATCACTACATTATCGGCACAACTTAGAATTTCCCTCATTTAGAACGCAACTTAGCCTAACTCGCACACGACCTTAATAAAATATTTGTTTTTTTAATTGAAGTTATAATTGATATACAAAATGTATATAAATGATTTAATATACCAATTATATATATAATTTTTTGTATGATATATTAGTCGTAATGTTTTCTTTCAGAGTTGTGAAAAAACAACATTAAGTCTGGTTGAAAGCAACATCACTTTTCAAATATTTTAACTGCTTATTCTTGACATATATTTTTTATTGTGTGGTGTACAATATGAAATATAGAAATAGTAAACACTAAAAATTAATTAATTTAAGTAAAATAAAACAAAATGAATATTAAATATTATTTATTATTTATGTATTTGAATTTATTAGTAAATGAAATACTCATATGATTTTAACGAATAAAGAAAAATTTCCAACATATTTTCAGTGAACATTCACAATAGACTGATTTTTGAATTTGGCTGCATTGAAACTTAAAAAGTAAAATTTTTTACGAGTATATGTATAAAACCCAATTCTAAATACCGAGCATTGTTGCTTCACATATTTTCTTTTGTAAGTTGCGAGTATTTTTTGAAACTCTGAAAGCAAAAATTACGGCTATTGTGTACGTTCAACCATTCATATAAATGGGCAAGTGCCTAAATCAAACAGTGTGAATGTATTATAGAATATTTGAACTGAACTGATATGAAAAATATCCAACACAAACATAATATATATATATCTCAAAAAATGTAAGCAAACATATGAAAATATATATTCTAAGACAGTAATAGCGCTTTATTTGTTATTTTCTTCACGCTTTGAATATCAAATCAAAATTTTGTGCTGTACTTTACAATAACAGGCTTAGCTGATGTTTTTCAAGAACACCCATTGGTACCATTTGAAATTCGTAAAAATACACACAAATTTGATTTTTTCCCTTTGCTGAGGTACTTGCCAAACACGTCTGAAAATTTATTAAGGGTATTCAGGATGTCTGTGCATCGTTGCATGTGAAAAATTATTTGCCTTTACAAAAACAATTTCCTTTCTTATGATTCTACAATTGATTTACAAGACAATATTCGAGACCATATTTTTAACACCAATTACCTCTTGCATATTTGATTTTCAAGATTCTATTGTGAATGATCTTATTTTTTTACTGTTCACTGAGCAATACTTCAGCGAAACTGATATTGTCATTTTGTAATTTTGTGATTCTGTGCAATTGTTTGATTTTGTATTTGTTTTACGACCAACAATATCAGAGCTGCTAGCAAAAATATTCGAAAATGTGGGAACAAAAAGTGGACCAATGATGAAGTCCAATAATGAGTTATATTATAAAAGCATATAAATACGTATACAAAAATCAGTTCTAAATATTTGCACAGACATCCTGAATACCTCTATTATGTTACTGACATACCGAGACTCTTTCATCAAAAACTACTAAAATTTCTTCATTTAAAACAGTTTTTCAAATTGTCTAATATCTAAAAATTTGAAACGAAAATGCAACCCTGTAATCAGCTGTAGTTGTGCATTGATAAGAAATATTTGAGCGCCAAAATCATGTTCTTCGTTTAAATAAGTTGACTTTGCGCTAATATAAGTTATTAAAAGTATTTTATGTGAAAAGTGTAATTTTAAGGTAATTTAATAATAATGGGTATAACTGGGCTAATACCATTTCTTGAAAAAGCGTCTTCAAAAGTGCATTTAAAGAATTTGCAAGGATCTACAGTCGCGATAGACAGCTATTGTTGGCTGCATAAAGGTGCTTATTCATGTGCCCACCAATTGATACGTGGAGAAGAGACGACAAAATATTTGAATTATTGCTTACAATATGTGGATATGATAATTTCGTATAATATAAAGCCTATACTTGTTTTTGACGGTCGCCATTTGCCAGCTAAAGCGCTAACGGAGAGTCGACGACGAGAATCTCGTCAAACTTCCAAAAAGCGCGCTGCAGAACTACTAAGACTGGGACGAACTGAAGAAGCTTATTCGCATATGCGTCGCTCTGTAGACATTACACATGACATGGCATTCGAACTGATTAAGGAGTGTCGAAAACGCAATGTTGATTGCATAGTAGCACCATACGAAGCCGATGCTCAAATGGCTTGGCTAAGTAAAGTCAATATTGCACAATATATTATAACAGAAGATTCAGATTTAACACTTTTTGGTGCCCAGAAAATAATATTTAAACTTGATCGAACAGGAGCTGGTTTACTTGTTGAAGCTGACAAATTTCATTTGGCAATGGGATGCTGTGAGGAAAAATATAATTTTGAAAAGTTTAGAAGAATGTGTATTTTGTCTGGATGTGATTATCTTGATTCTCTACCAGGCATTGGACTTGCCAAAGCTTGTAAATTTATACTGAAAACAGAACAGGATGACATGTGGCTAGCGTTGAAAAAGATACCGCAATATTTAAATATGAGACAACTTGAGGTAAGACTAACAACTAAAATATATGCTGCTTGTTAAAATTATTTATACATAGGTTGACGATGAATATATAGAAAATTTTCTCAAAGCCGAAGCAACTTTTAAATATATGTATATTTATAACCCACTTGAACGCAAAATGGAACGCTTAAATCGATTGGAAAACATACAGGCAGACTTAAGATATTGCGGTAATGCAGGTACACCTTTAGAAAGTGATGAACAGGCATTCCATTTAGCACTTGGTAATTTAAATCCATTCACGTTGAAGAAAATCGACGTATGGAATCCTGACTATACTTTAAGTACTGCACCGATACTCGCAAAATCTGTCAAAAGTTCTAAACATCCAAGTATCTGGCTGACGAAAGATAAATCTTTTAGTGTTAAACAAAATGAAAATCAAGAAAATAATTGTGCACTTATCGTTAAAAAAATTGATTTCAACGCTCAAGCAATTCATAACGAAATTAACGCAAACATTCAAATCGAGAACGCAAAACCCGCAGAGTCAGAAGTGTTTGCAATGTATGTGAATAACACAAACAATAATCTTACAATAGCGAAAAGAAAACGAAGTGATACGGAAACTCAAACAACAAACGATATTGATAGTTCTGCAACAAAATCTTCAGAAGTTAACAGAACTCGTCTCAACCCATTTCTTAAAATCACACCTGCGGAAATGCATTCGCCGCAAAGAATATGTGAAAGTGATTCGTTGCTTAAAGTATTAAGTCCTAAAAAGCATGACGAAAAAGTAAAAAATATTCAACTATTGGGCAGCATTAAGAAGAACATATTTGAATCGGATATAAATAATATTAATGTAGAAGTTAAAAGCCGTTTATTTGCTGTAAATTTAAATCAAGCAAATAAAATATATACCAACTGCTTAGACTTATCAAATGAAATTGAAGAAATTGATGAAATCTCTAGACAAAAGCAAATAAGTCAAGCGCAGCTGTATCATTCACCCTCTCCCAGAAAATGTAATATCTCTTCACAAAACAACAGTAAGGAATTGTCCTCCAGTTTAACTGATAGTGGCTTTGTTTCGAACTCATCAAATACAAATAAATTTATTAATAATAATAGCGATGTAGTCAATGTAAATGAATCTATTGTTCTTTCCGACAATGAAAGTGATATTCAGTCTAATAAGAGTACCGATATGGACAATTCACAAACTCGCGTTATTAAAAACTCAATGCCACGTTTGGGTCTTTCGAAAAAGCAAGAAAGTGTTTTCAAATCAAAAAACAAATTAAAGCCAACAAAAATCTCACTAGACGCAGCGAAAAATTCAACCCAAACTCGGCTAAGTATGTTTGGTTTTCAAAAAAGGCCCAGTTTAAAATAATGTTCCTGTTTTTTTATTTTTATTATTGTTGGTTTTGATTTTTATGTTCTATATTGTTTTATAGTTCATTGTTTTTATACGTGTATTTAGAAGCATTATATAAATTTGTATATAAATAAATAATGTACATTATTAATTTATTTTATAATTTTGTTTGTTTTCAAAATTATTTATAAATAAGGTTCTGATATTAAAATTGAAATGATATAAAAATAGTATCAGTGATTATTTTCCTAGTAAGATTATGTATACTTTTATATATAATATTTAGTAACTTAGAGTACTTAATATTGTAATTAACACTGCCTAATAGTAATTATATGTTAATATTACTTATTAAATAAAGAAAAACAACAATTCTTTGAATTTATAGCAACGAAAATTATTGTCAGTAAAAGGAATATGTATATTCAATCTTGATTAAACTGTAACAATATGAAATATTATCTAAAATGTCCTTTACGCGTTGGTAACACGTATCGAATTAGATAGAACGTTGAGCTGTATGAGCTTTAATGCGACATTGACATGGTCAAGCATAAAAAATTCAGCAGCTTCACTGGCTTGACCATGTCGAAAATCCCCGGCTAAAAACATGTTTAATTCGGTCCTCAGCATTAATGGAAAGATCATATGTTAATATGAAAGCACTTGGTACTACCAACCGGCGAAAGCAAGCCACTGAACTGGCTGGCTGACAGAGGCTACCGGAGCGATCAAGGACGACTCACGTCTGTAATAACTAATTAAAATAAAAAACTAATTAATTTGATTTTTGAGAGTAATGTTTTGAGAACAAATACCACATACATAATACATATATATCTGTTTCTAATAAAATTAAATTAAAAAACACAATATGATATTTTACTATGCTTTATATGTATGTCGAACAGAGATTGTATATTGCAAACTAAACGTTAAAGCAAAAAGCGATATTAAATCAATGTTCGTACTATGTATACGAGCTCTATTATAATAGATTACTTATTATCTTTATAATATAAGAAGGCAGTTATTTTTATATTTATTATGTTTTATCTTATTTGGATTGACTATCTTAATAGCACCAAAAGCTTATTTAAAATTAAACGAAATGTATATACAAAAACAGAATATTATTAGACAGAATCTAAATAGTTGTTTTTGCTGTGATAATTTGAAAAAACCTGATCGACCGTAGATTGTTAACAGCGGCAACTGGGTAGACGAGATGCTTCGATAGGTTCTAAGAATATTCTTTCCGAAGCTACTCGTCAATTGCGACGATTAATTATCACCTATCAAAAGAATCACACAATCAAACTGCTCTGATACATAGACCTTTCATTACTGCCAACCCCTGGCTACATGTCTGATTGATGTTTATTATTTTTCAATAACAATTATTATTAAACTACGTTACCATCAAGATTATCTTTCAAAAGTAATAGCAGTCATGCGTTTTTTTTTTTCAAATAAGACTTTAATAGCGTGATATCTGCTTTTCTAAATTAATTTAGCACCTAATTGTATTACTCTATGTCATATTATATATCACTTACATCCTTCTTAACTGTTATCTCGGGCAGATTAATTCATTAAGGTACTTCATAGTTTTTGAAATCGATTCTCTGGTCTATGTCTGGGAGTGGCTGCGGGACTAAGAATCAGCCATTCGGGATTGTTAAGTAGGCATAGATCACTTGTAGAATACATTTTTAATGCATTACAAAAAAATATGTTATTAATTGCATTATATACAACTACTATTTGGATAAACCTATTAATCTTAGGCTTGTATGCATATAATAACGCAACTGAGAACATTTTAAAATACATCAAAGTTCAAATTTCTAATTATATTGTTAAATGCCAAAGAAAAAATGTTTACATTAAATTGATAATTAATTTATGTATTAAGGCCGTGTGTGAGTTCGAGTAAATTGATGGTAAATTGAGGGATATATTAAATGATGTCGGTATAGCAGCGAATGTTGGTATTTACCTGAATTTCGAGTAGAGTAAATTAGATAAAAATTAAGTGAATTAAGTGCTACCATTGTGAAAATTTTATAAGATGTTGAATAAATACATAAATAAATTTAAAAACTTTTAATCAAAAATTATAAATAAGTGCAATAAATACATAAATAAATATTTACATAAGTGCCGTGCAAAAAATCCCTAGGTTTTCAGTAAATTTCAATTTACCTTACCTCAATTTACTGATACTCTCACATGAACTATATTTATAGAAAGACACAAAGCTTAATTTTGATGTTTTCTTTATTTAATGAATCTTAAGACTAACTTAGAACTAAAATATAAAATTATTTTCAGTGATTGACATAACATATTTGACCAAAAATTAGTTCCCAAGAACAATTTTGTGAAAACACCAAATTTTGCTCAAATATGCTTCACAAAACATATGAATCAGATATCATCTGAAACAAACTACGTTTTATATTTCTCTAGAATAGACACTAAAGATTATGTATTCCTCTCACGCTATTCATCGATAGTTAAAATAATTTGCAGTTCTTTTAATAAAGAAATTTGACGAGTTTGTGATCACAAATTTTTAAATTTGTCACAGTCACTGTCTGTTGATTTAAACGCATTAATTTTCTTTTAAAAAACAGTTGTGAAAGTTATTAACAAAAGTAATATAATTGAATTTTTTTGTTATCTAGTAATAGAGCTATAAAATATTTTTTTTCAAAAATAGCAAATTTATTACGTTATAACCATGTGGTACTATTTGCAATATCATACCTATATATATATATATATATATATTTAAATATAACGAACTAAAATAATTTTTTTACGAAACTCGTCACACATTTCTTGGTATATTTAATTGAAGACTTTAAATTTTATACATTAACTTTTATTTTCAATTAAAATTAAACATAAATCAAACTCTAGTAAAAATGTACACATTTGCAGACTGCTCAAATTTAATGATAAGAATAAACAATTTGGGATGTGCTTGCCATTGATTCGAGTTGTATAGGAACTTGTTCTGAAGTCTCTACAGGCGTCGTCATTCTATTCGTTTTCATTTCTTTTTCAGATAACGCTTCTAATTCAAAATCAGTAATTACGTGCAAAACTTTATGTTTTACAGCGGAAACCATTTTAGGTGGAAGAAGTTTTACACTGGCCGCGACGCTTTCGAAAAACAAATCAATGCTGTCTTTCTGAGGAGGTGGTATCACTAAAGGCTGTTGAGTAACATTATTAATAAATGTATGTACTGTACATCGGTCACGTTCAATTGTTTTCATTAGTTCTACTCGATTTAGTTCAGCCGTATTATATTCATCATCCGATTCAATAGCATTTTCCTGAAGGTTTATTGCACTTTCATCCTGCAAATAAAAACTAATTACCCAATTTTCATAGGAAAATATTTCAATAAAAAATTTACTAGAACATCATATTCGATATTATATTCACTAAGTTCTTCCACATTATCCACATAATTACAGTCATATTCAACCTCCGACCTATTGTAAGTATATAACCATTCACATCAGTATTTATATATGCATAATAGGAAGAAAAGCATATAAAACTCACTTTGGAAATTCAATAATATCTAATGTGGAAGGATCCTGCAATTCAATTGTTGCAAATTCAATATTTTTAAGATTTTTTTTTGAAAGTCGTCGATGTTTAAAAGAATTTTCATGTCTTTCTAAATGACTCTTTTTACACACAAGCCGTTTAGAACAAATTGTACATATTCCGACGGTTTCATCACTTTCATCCGCTTTCAACCAAGAAAAAATATTTTCCCAACGTGAAATGTATTTCTGCCTTGGAAAACGCAACGATTTACATTTGTCTTTAACAGGTGCATCATAAATTGAACTGAAATTGCTGCAACAATGTCAAAATTTATTTTTAAAATATTTTATTATAAAACGTTACCTTACCTTTCACTTTCCTCTGCCGACTCATAATTAAATGGATCTTTTTCATCGCCCATATATTTAAGTAACCAGTCAAATTACAGCAATTTAAAATGTACTGTTAAAATTAACGCTTTAAGTGTTGCTTGGACCAAAAATGACAATAGTGTAAGCACAAAATTAATGAAAACAATTTTTCCCTATCCGCAGTGAATGCCAAAGCTGTCAATTTTGACATATGCAGGGTTGCATTTAGTATAAGTTATTTATTCTAATAAATAATGAATTGTAAGGCCGTGTGCGAGTTCGAGTAAATTCAGGTAAAATAAATTGAAATTTACTGAAAACCTAGGGATTTTTTGCACTGCATTTATGTAAATATTTATTTATGGATATATTGCACTTATTTATTATTTTTGAATAAAAGTTTTCAAATTTATTTATTTATTTTTTAAACATCTTATAAAATTATTACAATGGTAACAAGTAATTTATCTAATTTTTATTTAATTTACCCTACTCGAAATTCTGGTAAATATCAACATTCGCTGCCATACCAACATAATTTACGATTTCCCCCAATTCACCACCAATTTACTCTCACTCGCACACGGTTATATTTATATTATAGTTATATATTATTATAGCCGTTATTACCTACACCGTTACTTACATTTCATGGCATTTATTCCAATGACATTAATAGAAATACGAATAGCTAATGCCATGTAATCAATAAGTACAAATTTATTTCAACATTAGATTTATTTATTTTTTCACTCTAAAAGTATACTATGAAATAATTATAGAAGCATAATTTGTTTTAAGATTTAATAAAAAATGTTAATCGTTTTATTTCATTCTTGTTTAACCGCGTAATTGGTTTGTACAAATCATGACATTAAGAGGGCAATTCTAGTAACGATCTTTCAGCTTACCACACAAAAATCTTGCAAAAGATCGTTTGAAAGATCATATGTATTCTGGCATGATTCACTTTCTGGTCTTGTGTAAGACTGAAAGCTGTTTATACGGTCTTTTATAGTCTTTTGATTGTCAGCCAATATTTTCTTTTAATTTTTTTGCACAATTTTTTTTATATGCAATAAAATACATAAAAATTTAAATAAAAAAATGATTAATTAATTAATTAAAATTTGTAAAAATTGAAGAATTATTTCTAACTTTATTTTTAATACGAATCAAGCTTAAATGTATTGATATACTATACTGTCTTTATTAACCTCTTAAAATATTTATTTTATGTATTTATATATAATATATATATTTTCTATATATTTTTTAATTTTAATATTTATTAATATTTATTTAACATTAATTTTTTTATTTATTTATATATATTTAAGATATTTACTGTTTTCTACCATTTCTTTTATGACTTGAGTTAAGTAAAAATTTAAAAATTTATCAGTAAAAATTTATTTATGTATTAATAATAATAACAAGTTACTCCTTCGCAGGTGAGAATATATAATCGGATCCCATTGAACCAGGATAGTTCTTTTTGTTCGTAACAGGAATTTTCATCCCAGAGATGCCGATTGGGGCTTGTTGGACAACTTATTGCGTTGTATGTTACAAATGGTTTTGAAAACGATAATACCCCAGCATTAAAGGCCCTTGCCAATATTTGACTTCACTCATGTAATATCCCCTGCTGTATGCTTTGGTGTATTTCTGATACGAAGATAAGGGTTAACGAGTTCAAAGGAATTTAATGGACGCCGAATCATAATCAGTATCGGTAGAGGCACTTGTGAAAGAAGTCGAAGATGGGACAATGATTGCAGTGCCGATGAAAATGATTTCTCTAGTCACATATTGGTTTTACTTTCATTAGTTTAGTATATGTTTTTTTCTTTCAGGAGCATTCAGATATTCTCAGGTTACTGAGATAAAATGATAAAATATGCGAAAATTCAATTGCAATTGCCATCACAACTCCACTATCTGCAAGTCTGTTAATATTGACCGATAAAACTACATTTTCTTATTTTTTGCTCGTACTTACCAATTGTCATAATCATTCCTTTGATTTACTTCACATAATTCCATTTTCCTCCTGCTTTACAAATTGAAGTGGAAGCTTCCTTAATTCCTAATTCATTATTTGGACAACATTTCTTACATCTCTATTGCAATCTTAGAGATGTAATTCTTAAATCGAATTGTTAAAAAGATGCAAACCTCTAAGACCCTTTCATCATGAACAACTGCCGTCTTGAGGACGTAGAATTCTTCTGCTATCTTGTAACCATAATATCAAAGAACAGTGAATCCAGCGCTGACATCAAAAAACCCATTAATAAGGCAAATCAAGCTTTTAGCCGCTTAAGTAATGTGTGCAGATCACCCAAATATCGCGTCGACCAATCGATACCAAATATATGACGGTCTGCGAAAAGATTTTCAAAGAAAAAAGCCAAATGTCTTCAAAGACATTTTACGTAAATGTCTTGAAGACTGGGTGCATCCATGTCTTGCATAGCGGACGCATTCGATTGAAATTTGTGGGCTCTTAGCGTAGCTACTCATTTAATTTATTTACACATTTTCTTATTGTTTCTCTTTAAATTGTAAATTTAGTTTTTCTTATATGTAATATAATATAACTAAAAAAAATTTTGTACGTCATTATTTTTTGTTATATATTTTATATACATACATATTTTTTACATTACAGTCAAACTTCCATAACTCAAAGTCCAATTTTGCAAAGCAAGGGTTTGACTTATGGAGACTTCGAGTTAGAGAATTTTTTTTTATTTTTTTTTTATTTTTGAAAGAAACTAGAATTATATTTTAAAATATTTATTTATTTATTTAAAATCAAATACAGCACAGAAGTTATAGTGAAGTAAAATATTTAGAAATTAATGTTTAGGATATTTTTTTTTTCTCATTTTCAGTAAAAAAAGATTTCACTTTATTCATATTCTTATAGTGATCATCAGTTGTAGTATCATTCCTTTGTAAATAAAAATTCAATATTTTAAATGAGGCTTCTACTTCTTTCTTAGAAGGCTAATGAACCTCCGAACCTTCATCATTGCTCCGTTCCGCTTAGAATCGGAGCTACTTATTCAGAGCTCTAACGTTCAATAATATCGTCATCTTTAGAAAATCTTGATGTACAAAAATTATTGTTAAGCTCAATATAATCTTTAAGAATAGTATTGGAAGTTATTTCATTTACTTTAAACCACGCTGCCAGCAACTGGCATTTGCACAAAGAAGCAACATGAGGAAGAAAAAATCAAACATTTGGTTTGAAGAAAGGGACTTCCCCTAACAGCAAAACGCATTTATGCTTAAAACGAAAATTGGACTTATAGAACGTACTTTCCCATATTCTTATCGGTACGGAACAAAATTATTGTTCGAGTTACAGAGAAATTCGAGTTATAGAAGTTTTACTTATGGAAGCAGAATTGTATGTAATTTGCTCTTTAAAACCTTGGTGCACTATGTTTTGTTCGAGTTATAGAAAATTCGAATTATAGAAAATTCGAGTTATGGAAGTTTATAGTCAAAGTTTATTTAATTTAGATAATTAAATAATTTTTTTATAAAAACAAATTAGAATTAAATTAAATTAAAATATGTGAATCAAATAGAAAAATTTTTCCACACAAAATGCTGATTCACTTTACTCAAAATTGGCACTGTTAATAATAAAGGCATAGCGACATATGTTAGGTTGCTGTGAACACTACAATTGGAGAGACTGAGTATCATAGAGACTATTTACATTCATGTTTTCAGCAATTGTTTTGCAAATTTGCTTAAACATGCGGACGCAGTATAAAAACCTTTTTCAAAGACAATGTCTTCGAAGACAATGACTTTTTCCAACTGGGATTTGCTGCAACAACGATGTTGTCTTGTGCACTATAGCAGTTTGTTTGATCGTATGAATGTGCAAAATTCATTTAAGTGCATTTTGTAAAATCGCAATCTATCCAATGATTAAATGAAGAAATTAATTATTATTAATTGAGATTTTATTATTATTATTAGAAATAATCACAACATATATAGAAATTTTTACAGAGCGTATTAGACGTATTTAGTAGCCTCTAAGTATATTTTGAAGAAAGTAGCTCCATATAGTAGTGCAAAAAGCTTTGTCAATGTTTAATTTATTTACTTTAGTAGATGTTTTTATAATTTTTTTGGTTGATTTATTTACAGTAATTAATTGTAAACCCTTTGATCGTTTGCATTCTTTTGGACAGCATTGTGGTTCACTGCAATTTTTAATTCTTCTATTTATTAAAAGGCGATAAATAAGTTGTTTAAAATGGGTAAGTGTTGTTTTTGTTCCGCATTATATCGTTTGTTTTCGTTTCTTATTTTTTTTTTATTGAAAGTTTTTGTAATTATGCGACTTACAGAAGTAATACCCCTATGAACCGTGTGGTTTTTCAGAACTTGTTTATACGACTCTAGTCTGGAAAGTATCATAAATTCGTACTTTTATATTACGCGCAACATGCAAACAAATAATTACAGAACTGTTTAATGGCAGGTTAACCGAAATATTAAAGCGTAACTTGCAAGAGCTAAATTTAAAAATGCTCATGATGTGAAGTGTTCCAGAAAGTGTGGTGAAGTTGTGAACGTGCTTCGGTTGTCTTTGCGTTATATGGTAAGTGTGAGTGCATGGTAAATTTCTGAGCAACGCGTGTAAAGTAAACATAAACATAAAAATTTGTTTTGGAAGTATGCTATATTTACCACCAATATATATAATAAAAATTATTTTTACCCTACATTCTGATGGCAATTGTTTTGTAATGAACATTTTAATTTTTGGTTTTTTTATTATTGCTCATAACTTTTACTTCCGTCCTTTTGTTTACTGTTCAATTAATTTCTTTACAGCTTTATTTTATTTTTCACTGATACTCAAGTAACATTGATGAAAGTAGAATACAAAAAGTACTATTGTTAAAAACATATCTGTATTTTTTTTTTCATATTCAAAAATTGTATAATCAAGATTTAGAAGAAGAAAAACCAGCATAGGTTTCAAAAGCTATTTACATTCAGCAACATCTCGATGAGTTTACGGATTATTCAAGAGAAAATATCTGAGGAAAGTATTAAATACACTGCCAAGTACTTAAAGAGGTAACCTAAACATAAAGAAAAAACCGATTTTTATTTGTTCTCTTTAGTCTTCAGTATATTCTTTCTTAACTTTAAT